TAGTAGCGATGCCAGGAGCCCCTAGTAGCGTTCTTGTTCCTAGTAGCCGTCAAGTCGAGTCTCACTCGAGTTGCTGAAAGCAAAAGCGCCTCAGCTCCATCGAGAAGCTTCGAGAAGCCTTCTGCTCCCAAACGACGAAACAGCAGATCCTGGCCAAAGGCGTGACAAAAGAGCAGTCAAAACAGATCAAAACGAAAGACTAGGGGGAGTGACCTAATATTAACGCTGTGGTCCAGATAAATGGTATACGAAACATTCAATTGCCCGTTTGTGTCATATGATTCAATATGCAATGATGACTTGCTGTGACCGACCGTTTAGTACAGCATCCATGCTCAACTTGACCACGGTCGTTCGCCGTCGGCTTTCTCTTCTCCGCCAGCTTGTGGGACGTCACAGGCAGCAAATTGGATAGAGTTTACCTTGAACAAATGCGCTGAATGGACCACATTCGAACCATTCCACTCACACTTGCCCCAGGATATAGATTCACAATTGCTGCGCTCCCCAGCTGCGGCTGCCTTGGGCATTCCCTTCTGAGTCACAGTGATTCCAGAAGACCGCAAAAACCATGTCTTGCTTTCAGCAAGACAGGTGAAAAATACAGAGTCCTTCGTGATGCCGTGATGCCGCCACGAGTCAAGTTGAACATGGCTGATGGGTTGTTACTTAGGCTTTCTACAAAGGTCTCAATTCCATTCTACAAAGAAAGCAGGTCCTGCTTTGGCAGAAGCTTTCGTACCAGCCATTCTGCAAGTAGAGGGTCCCACAGGGTCTAAGGGGTGAACCTTTTCTGGATGCCAATGGAGCCGTTACAGTCTAGTCTTCGTGTATGTATGTCTATATATGTAATTCTGAGCATTTGCCCCAAGCCCAAAGCTTGCAGTGGCTCAATGCAATATCGTTCCTTGGAGACACAAGAGCACTTGCAGGGCAGCCGGAAGACGGCAAACAATGGCCACACTTTCTCAAAGTCTGACAAAGGAAGAAACAATGAAAAGGACACATCTTTGGCATGAGACCAATCAGAAGACATACGTCACAGCTCGTGGGGTGGGTAGAGGAAGGAAGAAAGAAAGCAAAGAAAAAAGAAAGCCCTAGAGGTCTGAAGAAAGAAAGAAAGAAAGAAAGACAGAAAGAAAGAAAGTAGAATCACTAGAATCAGAACAGCTGGAACACATAACCGTTTCGACAACCACATGGCTTGGGTACTTCTCTGTCGCTACGTGGCTTTAACACAAAAGCAGCCTTTTCTACCTCTGACAGCTTCCATCGCCTCATTAGGCCTTTTTTGTAATCTTTTCAGCAATCTCAGGTCTTGGCGGCCTCGACTGATTGTGGACGGCCTCGAGAAGACATCAGCTCCAAGACTCCAAGAGTGGGAATAGACAACACTAGAGCCCCTAGTAGCGTCCGTGTTCCTAGTAGCGATGCCCTTTGTTCCTATAGAGCACTGCTAGAGTGTGAGTCAGAAAGTCATTGAAAGCGGTTCAATCAATCTCGGCTATAGGCTATAGGGCCTTACAGAAGAAAAAGGTGTCAAAAGGGTTCTCTCAAAATGCCGAGACACTCTAGCAATTGATTTCAATTGAAAGCGCCCGCGTCCTTGCACAACCAATATGGCTGGCAATCTGTCCACAGAAACTCATCAAATTCAGCCAGGTTGGCAGCCAGAGCTAGGCAGCTGCCTACAAGGCTCTTCAGGCAGTCTTCAGCTCTCTTCTAGCTGCCTGGCCGCTGGCCGAGTGGCGAGCAGATGTGATTCCCTTATTTTGCGTGCCTGACCCCGGAAGACGCTCTGAATCTTCGTTGCCTTGGAGAGAATGTCCACTTAAACACTCGATCAAAATCAGCTATGCTCAAAGGAACAAACTGTGCACAAAACGCCTCAACACATCTGAGCAGAATCTGTTGTTCAGCCAAGATTCTGCTTCTGCCTCCTGTTGTGCCATCTTTTTCACTGCCTCGCTTTTCACAGGATTAGAAACTAGGTGGATGTGGCAAGATGTAGGAAGTACAGTGGCTTCTGGGTGATCAAGTGGCAATCTTGCAGCTGAAGGTCCTCACGATCCTTGCCACCACGGTAAAGACTCTGGATCCGCAGCGCCGCTTGCTCCTCTTCCTTTTGGATCTCCTCGCCCCATGGTTCCCCTTTATTCGAATCATCTTCATCGCCTTCAATTCGCTCACTACTCCGGAGAGAATATGAGAAGCACAGGAAGGAGAGCAGAAAGGTCATAGACAAATGAGGAAAAAGGCACGCCATCTTCCAAGAAAATGAAAGTCCTCAGGAGTTGGAGCCGCTTTCTTTGGCGGACCAGACCTCAAACTTGCTCTGACATTGGGCATCTGCCAGCATCTGTGGCTTGGTGCCATCACCCGATTTCCAGATGGTTAAACAATGTTAAGTTATATTAACAGCATGAGAATTCTCTTCAGGCATTCAACAAATGATTCGCTTCAAGCAAACAAGGAAACAAACTAAACAAACTCACCGGCCATTTGCCATCGGGTCACGTTGTGGTTTTTTCTGCCCAAGCATTTTCCTGAAGGGCCACGTTCCCGAGATGAAGAGTTCGCATCTGCCAAAACCATCAACCCTCACATGACTCATGAGATGTCATGACAAAAACTGCAAACTAGCAAAACCTGTCCAAAAGCCCATGACTCCCTCCTTGGCAAGGTGTCTTCTGACCTGCTGTGCTTCATGAGAGACCTGAGCATTGGTTCGAACCCACGTCGGTTGTAATGAGACCGTGTTGTTCGTCCTAGTAAGGCCAGGAGCCCCTAGTAGTGTCCTTGCCCCTAGTACCGATGCCAGGAGCCCCTAGGTAGCGATGCCCTTTGTTCCTAGTAGCTTCGTCGTTTTCGCGCCTGAAAGAGCCGAGGCGTGGCGGCACGTTCATAGCGAACACAGGGCGTCTCCAAGGCCTCACCGAGGACGGGCAGAACGGGCGACGCCGGCGACGCCTAGCAGCTTCTTCCACCTCACGTTCCCCCCCGACAACAGAAATATCACAGGGCGTTAAGTAGAGGGCACTACGAAGAAAGACGCAGACCGAACAGGAGCCATATGGAGCCATGGTTCAAACATGTTCGAATGAGCCACAGATGACTGGGCCTTGTAACATTTATGGTCCAGTTCTGACTCAGATTGGTGTGGTTCCCCTTGGTTCAAGGCTGGTAACCTTCAACCCTGAAACGGGAGATGGTTTGTAGCTCTGTGCCTGATCCAAACGCCGTACTTTGGCTTTGTCGTCCTGCGCCGATGCACAACTGCCACGCTTCTGAGAAAGCAGCACTAGCATGCAGCATGCTGATTTGAAGAACATCAGTGCCTGTCCTTCGTCGCCAGTGCCATGTTCAGCATGTTTTGCGCACGGGAGCGCCCTACTGAGAAAGGCCTGGATCAGAAAGCAGCTTGGAGCAGCTTGGCATCGTCCAAACTGCTGTCGACACATTGTCTCACCTGCTATCTTAATCGTGTTAGTCTATCTTACATCTATAGCAGAGTGGCATACGGCATACATGTCATGCAGCCTAAGTTGCCAACCGTTCGTTTTGTCTCATATCTCCCACTCACGTAAATTACATTCATGCAAGCCACGTCTCCCCACCTGTGAGGTTCGGGAGGGTGGCTCTGGCGTGGTGTAAACTTTTGCGTTGCAGAAACCTCCTGCGCAACGAGCAGCAGGAGACAATGCTTTTCACTGCTCTGGTCCATGAGAGGTGGCAGGTACTAGTAGCGTCCTTGCTCCTAGTAGCGATACCAGGAGCCCCTAGTAGCGTCCTTGCTCCTAGTAGCTAATCTGATTTATCATCTGATCTTGTGCATTATCTGGTCTCTCGCGTAAGGAATTGATATGATTCAAGCTGAGGCCACGACCCAAGGAGCCTTCAAGTTTCCCAAAGCTGACACCATAGCATTCAATCCTACCTGAGATTAACACACTCCAGAGTGACACACAAAAATCAACAAAAAATCATGCTCTGCTTACAAGGTGATAAGGCAGGCAAGGAAGGGCAGGTCATGATCCCACTCTGGCCTGTGGAGTAACAATGTGCCGGGCACTCCGAGAGAATGCCGCATCGGAGTTGCAGGTTGGTGTCTTGGTTTGGCAGCTTCAACAATCGAGAACTCTCAAATCACATCACAGAAGCTGAGGGTTCCTTTGGCCCCTGACTCTAGGCCGAGTACACCGGCTGCTTCGCCTAAGAGACTTGCGATGTTCTTCTCAACAGATTCAAATCTGGAAGATAGAAGCAAATCAGCCTTGTCTGAGGCTACACACGGTGTGCCCAAACCATGCGGGGAGGACATGACCAAAGGTGGTAGAGGCGGCATGGCCTGGGTCAAATGACCAAGCAACAAAGAGCCCGGGCCCTGCTGCTCTCCACCGGTTGCTACCCTATCGCTTCATCTGGAAGATGAGAAATGATGGATTTGTCCACATGTTCAATCAAACCATGACGGTGCACCAGCCTCGGTGGAAGGCAAACGGCTACGCCGGTGCCCGGACAAGGTTCAGCCCGAATCTGTCCAAAGACTCTGTGCAAACTTGTGGATCGGTCTATGGATTCGGACTGATCCAAACTACCTGAGCCCTGAACGGCTTCAAAATCTGGTGAGTGAACTCGCTTTTCCATGCTTTTTCATGTGCATGTGAGATCTCATTGCAGCTGCCATTGTTGAGAAGAACATAACATTTGAATACATTTGATGTCTTACTCAATTGGAATGTCCAGCGGTTCCCTGATGGTGTCATTCAACTCTGTCTATCAACCGGGGCGGATCCGAGAACGTCCTCCACAAGGAATCTGGCTCGGGCGTTGTCCATCTCGCGAACCTCAACTGCTCCAAGCTGCAAGCGACGAAATGCACAGAAAACAGCAAGAAACCACTGGAATTGGTGCCCTTCTGCATGCACTGCTGCCTGAAGCAAGTCTTCGGCTGTGACTTCTTTGGCCGTCTGGCGGATCCTGCATCTGAAGCGAAATTCAAAGCATTAAACATTACTACATCTAAAGGTTCACAAGCTTCAAGGTGCGCAAGCGCATGCATCATGGGTTTTCTCGATGTTTTTCTGAGCTTCGTGATCTCGGCTTGTCTTTGGCGTGGGAAGCAGCGAAGCCCAAGTGGCTCGAAGCTCCATGCGGCATGAGATCGCCCAAAGCTAAAGTTTGGCTTTCAGCTGAACCTCCGGGAAGGGAGCTCTCCTTGATTCACCTTGGTTGAAACGACATGGACTGCCAATCCCTGCAAATCCCCACAGCTATTCACAGCTCCATCTTGCGACTGCGGTACTGAAGTCCCACAAGTCCTTAGAGTTGCAGAACCTGCCAAAACCATGTGAGTTCTGACAACTTCAGAATAACCACTGGTACAAAATCCATGTGATTGCGTTCTGGCATGTTTTGACTGCATTGTCTTAGAAAATATCCTTTTGGTTTCCAAGGCTCATTCACCGGGAGTTCTCCCCGAGTGTGCTCTGGTTCCAAAGGAGAGAAAAAGAAGGCTACCTTCCAGCGGTGTACTCCAGAGTCACAGCATCGAAAGATTGAAGATAAACATGAAGCACAGTTCAACACACTCAAGCGTCCCATCCTAAATATATATTAATTATATAGATCGATATAGATATAGATGTGGACCTTACCTTTCACCAGACTCTATACTCTTAGGGCCTTGGCCGGTTGTTCTGTCTAGCAAGCTCGTCAGTTTGTCTTGTTGCTGTAATGTTGTCCCGATTGAAAAACGCAGCTGGCCTTCTCATCTGTGATCTCATCCAAGGCATCCCAGCTTGGTTTCCAATTCCTGAATTCTTTCTCGAGTCATGCTATCCAATTGAAAAACATGAACAACCCATGACCAAACCATAAGCGTCTTCATCTTCTGGGCGAGCTTCTGCCTTCGATCCTTTTCCACGAGTACAGCGCGGATGCCTTCCTGAGAAACAGCGCAGTCAACTTCCGCTTGGCCTCGTTCTTCACGCTTGGTTTGTAAGTCTCTTCAAACTACATCTTGGGACCAAGGGTCGAAAAAGTCCGACAGTGGCTGGGGCCTTGTGGTAAATCTTTGTGACAAACGGTATTCCATCCTCGGTATTTGTGCCAAAGCCAAAGTGGCATGTTGTTTCAATCCAGGTCCATAGTCCATACCTCACTTCCTCACTTCCGCTGCCTGAACTCTTTCTGGCGTGGGCCAAAGCCCCACACAGAAACAATATATTTAAATGCTGCATCAAATGCACTAAGACATCTACAACCCGCCTTCAAGCCGGTAGGGGAGATTCCCAGAGTCGTTCACAAGCGTTGCCAAATGAGTTAGTGCGCTTGAAAATGATGGCGCTCTGTTTTCACGCCTGCGTTTGGGCCTTCGATCATGCACCAGTGCTCACATGCCACCATAGGATAGCTAGGTAGTATGAGTGATAGGAAGGGTGATTGGAACTCCGTTGAATGCTGTCACCCCCTGCATGGTGGCGTGTACGCACCTGGTGCTCTTGCCCACCCAGATGCCTTTTCGATAGGTTGGTTCACCTTTGTGCTTCAATGCCGCGACATCCTTGAACAACACCACTTCTCCCCATAGGACCACCTTCCCAGCATACCTTCTGTCTGTCATGGCCTCAAATGAAGTAGAACCATTGATGACTCATGCTGCATGCCTGAATGCCCATGGATAGGCGTGGAGTGCACCTTCACACCACTTTGCTCTTCAGCATAGGTCCTCAGAGTGTTGGCAAGCTTGCGCACGCTCTGCACTGTCCGCGTTGTCTCTGCACGTATCTCTGAGCTGAGACCCACGCCTGCCCGTGCATGTTCGGTGGCACGGAGTATTTGGCGAGTTGACCTTTCACGGTCTGACTGAAAGATCACTGGTTGGGCATTGGACACCTGAAGACTAAAGCGGTGATCTCCTCGGTGATCTCCTCGGTGACCTGTTTGAGTGAGGTGCTGCCCTTGGCCAAGACTGGGATGCACATGACAGCCTTTGACTCTGATTCAACTACATAGACAGCCGCGCCAAACTGTTTCTCCTCCGGCTAACCGGCTGTGAAAGTGAAGCCATAGTCAAAGCTAATGATGCTTCGTCCCCTGTCCTTCTTGTCACCCTTCTCGCTTGCCGGCCGGGGATCTTCTTTCGCCCGAGTTGCCACACAGGTCTGACACCATGCTTGGGGCGCGTGGGCAACTTGGGCGTCTTCAGTGGCACTGCCTCTCTTCTGCTCTCAGAGTACAGCCTCCGGGCAATCTCAAAGGCCATCTCAACACCTTGATCTTTTACCCAGAGGTGGGTAGTCCAAGCTTCTTGCATGCTTCTTGCAACTCCTTCAACTTGTTCTCTTTGGTGAAGATCTGTTCATCCACTTGGACTTCAATCTCCTCAGGGTCGATGAATTCGACATCCTCCGCAATCTCTGGGCTAGGGCGGGTCCTTCACCCTCTGCAGCTAGGACAGGAATCTCTCCTCCTGCTTTCTCCTCATCATCTTCAGGCCATGATGCTGGCTCGTCTGCCAGCGATGGATACTGGCTGACCGGCACCTCGGCGGCGGGCACGAAGTAATCTCCAATGGGTCCTGGCGCAAGGAAAGTGAGTGCAGCTCGTGGTCCTCTTGGGATCGTGGCGAACCCACATAATCCCAAACATTTTCAACTTGCTCCCATAGCCCTTCACCTCGAAGCACCTTCAGCAATGTCAATCTGCTTCTCCATTCTTTCCCAAAGCAATCACAAGGGTCCAGAAACCTTGCAGCCGTGGGATTGGAGTGCACCACAATGCCATTGGGTAGGGCATGCCACCCTGGAACCTTCTCTAGCAAACTCAACTCTCTTGAGATGTATCCCCTCAATGCCTTTCTGTTTTCATGAGCTTGGACGGGGAACACCTTCTCAACCCCATCAACTGGACTGTCTGACAGCTCGATGGGCTCTTGCTTCACTGGAGTGAGAATACTCTTCCATTGCGCCCATCTTTGCATGCGCCCTTGAACATGGCCATCTTCACTGCTGCTGCCCTTGACATCTGTTTCCCCGGATCCCTCCGTTGTGTAGCCGGGGGACCTCTCTGGCTCTTCAATCCTTTGTTTCTTCTTCATGGGACTTTCCTTGGCCAACTCCTCCATCAGCTTCAACGTCTCCTCATCCTCCATGTCTGCACGACTCAATGCTCCAACAACAACGTCATCACTGCTTGCTGTCAATGTTGCATTGTTCACCACAACACTGGGATCTGCAGCATCTGTTGTTGGAACTGTTGTTGCTGTCTCAACTGCATTGCACTGCGCCTCAACCTGGCTATTTTCTGTCATCTCGAAGTCCGGTGCAGCCTCTGACTCGAATTCCGGTGCAGCCTCTGCAACTTCTTCCTCCTCAGCTCTGATGGCGCAAACTCTAATATCCATCACAAAAGAATTGTCCTCCAGCCGAGTGGGAATCTGGACTCCTTTTGCTGCATGCTCAACGAACATTCCATCTTCATCCCTTGACAGAGTCCAGCCTTGCTTCAACAATCGTCAATGGGTGCGTCACTCGTCTTCCAAGAGCAAAATGCTCAATGAATTCAACAACTTCTCCATTTCGTGAAACTGCTTTCAACCTCAATCTCCTGTTGCCCCGACTGTGGATGATCTCACCTTGTGCGTCGACCATCTGCACTGTCCTCTGTCATGATCACAACTGGTGGCTCTAATGCTGTGATGTAGGGGACCATCGACACTCTGACAGGCTTCTCTTCATCTTCAACCTGATCGTATTGGGCTCGAAAAGCTACGGCCCTTGTCTGCTCCTCAGTGGTGTTCAAGGGTGTCTCATTAGGCAGCTCCTCCATGCACTCAAAGAACTCCTCGTCCTCCTCCAGCAAGTCGTCCGCCTGGCTCTCATGAGGTCGGATGGCCAACACTGGCCAGGACTCCTCCTGCTCTTCCATCTCCTCAGGACGGTCTCCCTCGGCGGTCGAAGTTGTCCATGGTGGCCTCAAGCCTGTGGGCGTGACCAGACGTACACGCCTGACACCAGCTTTGGCGCTGGTGTGGGCATGTGGCCTGGTTGACCTCTCACTCGAAAGGCCTTGGCTCTGCGTCGACGTAGTCGAAATATAGTCTTCTTGACATCACCTCCATCATCTGTTGCAACTTGTTGTACTCGTTTGGGAGCCCAACACTCTTTGGCAAAGTGACCAGCCTTGCGTTGTGACAAAGCAAAGCTGTGCCTTTCCCTTTCTTCCCGGTCGACTTGTCTCCTGTCTTGCCGCCTTTTCCACCCTTCTTGCCACCATCCTTGGACCAAGAGCCTTTGCCTTTGCCTGTCTTGCCCTTCTCTGATCCCTTCTTGCCACCTTTCTTCCCTTTCTTTCCTTCTTTGGCCCATATTGCATCCACCTTCATGGGGACGGTCTGATCGTCAGCAACTGGCTTGATCCCCAACTGCCATGCTGCTCCATCTGTTGTCCACCGCTGACTGACCGTTGTCGAATGTCGTCCTGCAAAGACATCTGTATATGTAGTCTCAAGCTCGGGGGCAACGCTGACACAACTGCTGCAATCTTCAGGTCATCAGGGTATGTGACACTTGCACTACGTTCATATTCACGAACCATCATCTCATATTGTAGCAGCTGTTCTGTGACTGTTTTGCTCCCATCGAATTGGACTCGATTCAAAGCTTGTACAAGGGCCAATGAGTCTCGTCTTGGGTTGAAGGTCACGGGTCAATGTCCTCCATGCCTCAAGTCCATTCTGGCTTAACACTCCCCGCGCAAGACGCTGTTTCATCAAACCTCATCGTGGGGTCCACAGCACCTACGAAGGTCTCAAACTGAAATCGCCAGTCCAGCCACTTAGCTAGTTCCTCTGCGCGATTCTCTGGTTGGAATGTCGTAGGGGGTTTCAAGTGCTTCGTGAACCCACTGCTCTTTTGGACCTCAATCAGGCCACGCAAAGCCTGAACCAAGCCCTGAACTCCAGCTCCAGCGGCGCC